TATAACTGTAGGTCATTGTTTACATCGTGACCTCATTTCGTTTTGAAACAGTTATAATGACCTTGCCCTTAGATTTCTTATTTTACAGTGAATGTTTCACTCTACTGTCTGAATTAGGAACTCAGTATTCCGTTAAATATGATTAATTCTCATATGTTACTGAGATGATTAACGTCTAATCTATATTATAACAAGGAAGCTTATAACCCTATTGTCTTGCATTATAGCATAACCTAAATAGATGACCCTTGAAATAAGTTTAAAATGTTCACTGACTAGAATATTAAAACCAGACTGGTCATTCAAATTACTGTGTTCGTCAAATCTAAACTGGATAATTACAGTCGTTTTTATTGATAGAATCTTCATACATGAATGTTTACGACTGCTTTGTGCGCATGCATTACACTAGCAGTTTTTCAAAACACTAGTTTACAGGTGGCAGTATTCGTTGGAAATGATAAATTATATGAAGTAGTCGCTTTTAGGTGACTAGAAGTGAATGCATTTTTTCACTTGAAGAATGGGCCATCAGGATTCTGAGTTAGAGAACAGTTAAAGGCTGTGGATAATACACAAGCATTTGCCTTCTAAACTCCATAACAAAATGATTTATTAGGATCAATTCATAAGGCGCAGACGTAGACTGAAATAGGAATAGCATATTCAAGATATTGTCAAGTAGGTCATAGCATGTTGCTGAAGACTTTCAATTTTCCGTGGTTATTGGCTTTATGACCTAATGGATCGGACAGATTTGATAGGTTTGATCTTCGTAAGGATGCTTTGATGCTTTTTTAACTATACCTAGAAACTATTTTGCGTTGGTCAGCAGGAAGACAGAGGAGGTGTAAATCCACCATCTTAGAACCCATCGCCGGGATATGACCATTTATTTCAGTGTTGTTTTTCCTGCTGAGACTTGTATCCATCAACCATCGTGTCAAACACAAAAGGCTTAGAATTATGATGACCACCTCTTCTTCGAAATACTGAATTTCATCGCTTGCAGCTGTGAAATAATACAAAAGTGTTAATAATGGCAGAACTTGTGTGTCTTTTCATGAGGCAGTTTGGAACTGGAAACTACTATTCTATTGGGGAAATACAAATTATAACAACGATTCGTAACTGTCTAACAACATATGGATTTCGCCGATACTGAATAACAACCGTAATAGAGTATGCCTTATTGCAACCAATGAAGGCGAAACCGGAAGAAAAGGTAGTTGCGAATCAAAAGTTTCTTGATGGTGGCTAGTAGTGTTATCCGGGACGGGCGTTTCGTATCATTTGGGACTATTTAGAGGGATCTTCCTGCAGCCCAGTGAGTGACGTTTTTCTCCTGAGACTCAATAGTCAGGTAATATCGAGGCATCCGCATAAGAGCCTATATGCCAGCAGACGCGATCACTTTGATCCCGAATGAAAACATGAAATTACAAGCATCAATAATTAGTGGTAACTGATATCCATCGCATATGAGGTGGCTGCCATGGTTGAGTGTCCTAGTGAACAACGCCTTGGCGCTTGAAGTGATGGGTGCTGGGTTCTGGTTTCCGTGGGAAGAACATCACTCACTGGGGTGCAGGTACTGATTACATTTGACTATACTTCGTAGAACCAACGTATGATGCCTGAATATGCTTTTTTCGAAATATTCGAAAACCTGCATCAATAGGTGTCTGTTTATAAACTTGTAAAGACTTAAATATGCTGGGCGTACTAAATGGATTAACCTATGGTTTTCTCTTTATTAAGTAGAAACAATTGTCGTCAGTTAGCGTTCCATTAGTATCAATCACTATCAGTAAATAACATCTTGTAGTCATTTCACAAGAGATGGCTCACATCCCTCAGTGGCTTGGTAAATTTTGCTGTGGCGTTCAAAGCAATGAGTGCTGGATTAGAGTCTCAATAAGAACACTATCACTCACTGCATTGCAGCTCAATCAAGCTGACACCACTTGGATAGGATGAAAACATGTTTCATTGAGCATTATTACATTATTAATTGCGCCTTGCGTTCCTAATGGAACATACCGCTTAAGTAGCATGTCACCACTTCACTCTCTTCTCTACAGTCTTCACAACCTGGCGCCACGACAGCCCACAACCTCTCATTTCTTCCTCGCACGATCTCCTCCATGTCACCCTCACCTACGACACCCAACTCGTAACTTCCCATCTGGGTGCCACTCGAGTGTCTGACCTGACGCGTGATGTCCCCAGTCGGCCTTCTCAATGTATGCTCAATCCATCTCCACCTCCTTACACTGCATATTTGTTCAGCGATAGCTTCACGGTTAGTTCGTTCCCAGAGTTCCTTGTTGCTTATTTTGACTATTTTGGCCATCTGAGCTTCAGTAAGGAGTCAGCGTAGGCAGTTGTTGATGAATGTCTGCAGTTTGTTGGAAATCCCTTCGTAACACACCAAGTCTCTCAACCATACAGTAGCACTGACTTGACTGAATTAGTGTTGAAAATCTGTATGTAGTTCACGTTTTATGCTGAGTGCAGTGCAGAAGATCTCCACACTGCTTTCAGGCTAATCAACACCTGTCTTGCTCTTCCGATTCTGACTTTGACATCCTCGTCAGTGCCGCCTGTAGTTGAGACAGTGCTGCATGCCTAGACAGGTGAAGGAGGCCACTTCCTTTAAGTTTCTCCCGTTGATGGTGATTGCAGCTTGTTGTTGCTGATGCTGTTGTTGTTGGTTGGGTATCTTCATCACCTCTGTCTTCTCTATACTCATTCACTTGAAGTTCCATGTTCCTACGCTGCCCTACTTCTTCTGTCAACTTGTTAGTTTTTGCCTGTAGATGTGTGTATGTGTATGTGTATGTGACATCAGGCACAAGTCACCGGCGAAATCAAAATCTTCTAGGATATTTTCCCCGGTGCAGCCAGTGTATGCCCCTCTTCTCTCTCCTCACTGTTTGTTGCATGATTCAGTCCAGTCAACCACAATCAGGAATATCATGGGTGATAGTAGGTAGCAGCCTTGTTTTACTCCCTCCTGTCTTCACTTGAAAAGCATCACTGAGCTTCCCCTTGTGGATTACTTGGCATGTGGCGTCTTCATATACTTGTTGAATGAGATTGATAAAGGTTTGTGATATTAGGTAGTGTTGAAGCAACTGCCTACCAAATTACTTCTCGGTCGAGGCTGTCAAAAGCCTTTTCAAAGTCAATGAATTTCAGGTAGACGGTTGATTGCAATTCTATACTCTCTTCTATGCTGATGCGAAGCGTTGCAATTTGGTCCACACATGATTTGTACTTCCTGAATCTAGTCAGGCAGGCTGTTCCAGTCGTAGTTTTGAATCTAGTGAATCCTTTAGTCTCTCCAGGATGATGCGGCCTAATATTTTGCTTGGGGTGGACAGTAGCGTGATTCCACACCAGTTCTTGCAAAGACTTAGGTCATTCACCCTTCTTTGGGAGTTTGACAATGTAGCCCTCCTTCCAATCAATAGGCAGGTACCTTTCCTTCCTTCCTTCCTTCCACACCTTCTGCAACAGTGGTGTGAGCATGTCCGCTGTTGTCTCTGCGTCTGCTCTCAGTGCTTCTGGCAGGACTGCATCTGGTCCTGCTGCTTTCCCGCACTTCAGTAGCTTTATGGCGCTCAGGATTATTCTGACTTTCGTTGGAGGCCTTGTGTTCACTTGTAGTTCTGTGGCTGGTGGTGGCTGCAGGTGGTATTTCATGACAGAGTGCAGGTGGTCGATTCAAGAGCTTTTTGAAGTGGTCTGCCCATCGTTTCCTTTGTTTCTCTTCTTTGGTATAAATTGATAATGCGACGTGTCCACCAGTCTAACGTTTTCCTCTGTTTCTCTCACTGAAGCTGCAAATTTAATATCTCAGTCTGGTATGATTCCTATAAGGTATTATGTGTCAGGCGTCCAAGATATCAGTCTGGCATCTTGTTATTTCATTAGTTTATCCCATACGGAGGCTGCGGGACTTTCCTTGCTTTTGCTTTATGCAAAAGTAACTAAAACATGTTTTTGTACCAAAATGAACTCTTTTTTTATCGGTGCAAAATGTTGTAGCTACAACACAAAGTTTGTTCCGACTTGATGGAATTATTCTTACATATTATATTATCAGTTCTCGAGCGCTTTCAGTTGCAGAGAAAAGAATAAGGAAGAAATCCAAAAAATTAAGGCTGTGTTATATTTTAAAAGGCCTATGAAGTGACCTTTGGCTGCATATATAGTTAAAGAAATCGAATTATGAAAAGCATATTTACTCAAATCAAATTCATTTGAAGGTTGAAAATTGATCTTTATTGACTTTGATATATGCGAATTGTACACAGATATCATAAGGATATTTTCGGGTGTAATGTGATCCTCTTAGTATTAATTCAGGATCACGCTTAAAATTAAATACTGAAACGTTCTTGTCGTTTACATTTGCTTACAGGCTCCATTTCAAGCAAGTAAATCTTAAATACTGACGAGCTGCCACAGAACAGTTTGCGCGCAACACTATTTCAATGATAGACAGTATGTGAACTGATGATGAAGAATGTTTTTCAAAATATCCAGACAAATTCTATGGGCCAACTAAAAACTGTCCCTTCAGTGTTAGGTTCGGAATATAGTTTTGAGTAACAAAACTGAAAGGAATTACATCCGTGGTGGACAAAATTTCGATATTCTTCGCAAACAAAAAATTTATCCCTTCTTAGCTCATTCCCCTCTCTTGATCGGAGAGTTTCACAAAGGTAGCAAATAATACATTCCATAAAACAGCTCAGACTGATTAATGTAAGAGTAAAACTTGAGCAGTGAGTGGTAGGATGTCATTACATTTTGGTTGATTAATTAGATGCATCTCATAATAAAGCAGCATTATTTAGTGGATTATGTTTCACACATTATTTATTGTTCATAGTCATATCAGGATCAGTTAATATGACTATGTGCAATAAATTGTCATAAACACAATCCAGTAAATAATACTGTTCCACTGTGTGATATATTCAGTGAATCAACCAAAATAGAGTCCAGCTTCACCCTATTCTGTAGCATTAGAATAAGTTGTGTGTACAAACGATCCTGATAATTGTAAACGTTAAGAAGAGTCCTTGTGTAGATAAAAGCAACTATTTGAAGATTTAAAAGTTACACGATATAAGAACAGTTATGATAAACAGCGATGTGGAATGAAACTCAGCTGGTTAACCTGTGGGATTTCACGGTAAACTAACAGCATATTTTGAGCGAATACTTCTCTTAAAAGAATCTGTGGTATTTTCGATATAAATAATAGTGGTATGCAAAAAAATACCCCCTATACTAACTGCAATCCCACTTGCTGAAATGTCAGATTGGTAGAAAAAAAGTAGCATGTTATCCAACAGATAAAATAATCAGTTCTCTTTCCCCCATGAAATTAAATATGTACTCTAAAAGGAGGTGAACAACGTATATAAATGTTTCCTGAAATTCGTTTTTTAATCTCCACAGTCATTAAAATGAATGTACAATGAAGTCAATTCTAATTGCCATCGTCATATCGTAATCTATTACTAATGTGATGCTATTGAACACCATATCACACATACTCTAAGACTTTGTTCAGTATTGCCGAAGTTCATGGTGAAGACACCATTTATATTGCGAAATATGATGCATAGATACGCGTAGAATGCGAAATAAATGACAGACCAACTGAGATTACGTACGTATACATACATGTTCTGTAGTTTTGAGAATGACTTACAGCGTTTGAAGGTTTTTCAGCTTGAATAAACCTGAGTCAATTGTGATCGATTTAATCAGGTTATTTCTCAAATTTCTGCAATGAAAAGAGGCAAAACATAAGTACATACAAAACAAGTGACATAAAGCTGGATTATAATTTGAAACTATATCCACCATGGATGTTTTGAATATGTGAACGAATTTGTTCACTGTGCCTGACAATCATTATAAAATTGTAGAGTATGAAGCCAAGAAGTTCAATTTGTCTTCTTCTCTACCATAGTTGGTTTATCAGTTATTTACGATAGATTAAAGGAGTCTTATATCAATCTAAACAGGAACCTATAGGGTTTATAATAGAGCCATCAAGCAATTCCTTTCGTTTCTAACACCTAGAACGTATCCATCTGATGCTTATCCATGGTTTAAACTATTTCCCGAAGATAAGTAATAATTACTGGCAAGTAGACTAACCAAGTTCAACAGAAACACCGACAAATCAGATATTATTGATGATTACATTCTCTAATACAGTCTTAATATAGTAAATCATGGGTAGCTAGAGATAAAGTACAACCTGGAATTTGGTTAACACTTGAAGCTTTTTAATTACTTATTACTTTTGAGTGATACATTGGTGCCTCCGAAAAATCTGAAGGTTTCATATTTTGTCTTGGACACATTCAGTATGAAGCAATACACAAGAATTTCTGTGAAGACTTGCTAAATAAGTCGTTAGCAATAACCCTTACTGAATTTCCAAAGACACCGATTTCGCTAATTTAAACGGTAAAAAGACTTGTAATTTACTTTCTTCAGAAAATAACTCACAGTTCCTTTGTGTTCAATGGTAGATTGTCAGGTATATCCATTAATTCCAAACTTGAACAATCGACGCTAAAACCACCTGAAATAAGACCAAATTCATCTGGTCTGAATACAGACTCTGAATTTGCGTGCATTCTAGGCTTGACTGTGATATCCATACATTTACATCCTTCAGGACATTGGTGGTTTACAAATTCACAAGTTTCATTCTCATTTTTATAGGTAATGATACCTGGAACATATGAAATAAAAGGAAAGGCGCATATAAATGAGATATAAGATATTTACCTTTCTGAAGAAATGTTTCTCATAGCTGTACATTCATGAATAAACAGTAAAAAGAATAGAACATTCCGAAGTAAGTCCTGGTCAATGATCAATATAAACCGCATCACAAGGGAAAGTTACACAATGAGAAAAATAAATAAAATGATTACAAAATAAAAATGGTTGTGTCACATGTGGCTTATTTAGAGCGAGCTATAATTTATGATGGCCATGGCAACGAAGGAGTTCGTGCATACTTTTTTTGAGCACATAATGATTGTTTGAATTTTTCAATCACTAATGCTAAAGCCTTTCCCAGATACCTTAGTCACACTCCTTTTGAATGATTTTATCACACTTTGTACACAATTTTTAAAGGTTCATCAAAAGGCGTTAAACGTCATGCGTTTACTGTGTTCTGTTATGGAGCTGAGTATGCATTTCCTTTATTCTTTTGTCAGCCAAGTTGGATAGTGTTAGCGAGCATGTTACATCAGCTAGTGCATGGTAGGGCCGATGTACTCGGCTTCACATGAGCAAGCAAACTGATATACACACACTGATGTGGTACAATGCTCCGGCTTATTCTTTGCCTTCCGACGAATGAGTTTCTGTAGGGAGAATATGATTCTAGGATTGGGGGCAAAAATGTTCTGTTTACAGATGTCGATAGTCGCTTTCCAAGTATATCTGCTGCATTATCTCCCTTGAATTCGAGGTTAGGCAGTCAGATCGTTTACTGAGCATTATGCACACGTACAGTGGAGTTTTTTCGGCTTTAGATTCTTGTCGATAAACTTTAGTGGGTGTTCGTTTTTCATCAGAATTTCTAGAAAGTTTTCTAGTTCATCACGGATGCTATCTTTCATGTATATTCTTCGTATTCTTGAGGAGAGTGATATGATAAGATTCCTCTTTCTGCTTTAGGACACAGTCTTGAAAATTAACAAACGGCCCGCTTCAAGTGGGCTTTCAGTAAACAGATCTCCGAAGTGAACTGACATCCTTTCTTTGAAGTTGAACCTCAAAGAAGTGAAATGTCAGGCTTGATTCATCTTCTGGAGTGAATTTACTAGAGGGATGAGCACAACTGAAGTTTTGAAGCAGGTTTTCGAAATCCTTATCGTTGTCACAAATAACAGTTATCATCTCTTTATCTTTCGTAGAAATGAAACTTGTTGACTTTTTCGATAATATAGTGTCTTTCAGGCCAGGAGGGGTCTATTGTTGATCCCATACCCACATCGCCTATCTGCCTGTAGATTTCGTTGATAAATCTGAGTGGAACGTTAAAAGTACATCTAAGAAGAAGTCCCCTTAGTAATTGATTTAGGATGCCTATGTTTACGTTGTGAGACTGGGTGAAGTAACACAAAAAAGAAAGGGGTTTCGATAGTGGGACACTTGTGAATAAGGAGATGGAATTCAGAGAAATCTTCTTCCCTGACACATTGACATTTTTGATCAAATCAGCAAATTCAAATGTGTCACGCAGGCTGTTTCAAAGTTACATTCTTGACTGGATTCATTATCTTGACCAGCCAATTTGCAACTGAATGGTAAGGAGAACTGATCATGTAACGAATGAAGGGAAGCACCGTCATTGTGCACGCTGGGTAGACCATTTGATCAAGCGATCAAGGAACCTGATAGATGGAGTTGTTCATAGAGTTCAGTGCTGATCACCGCTTCCGTTTCCATCTTCTTTAATATCTTGGACAATTTACACTTTATTTCATCGGTAGGCTCTTTCTAAATTGTCTGTTTTTGAAACTTGTTTAAATCTGATAAGAGTGAAAGCTTATCTATGTAATCAAATTTCTTCAGAAGCACTATTTAACCATCTTTGTCAGGGTGTAACGTGGCTTGGTTTCCCCTTTCTGAAGATCCTTTAGATGATTCCTATCTTCCTTTGATAGAATGTGTCGCGCATCAGATTTTATATGCATGTAGTCATACAGTAATTTAGAACAGTGGATTTAAAATGGTCAAGGTCACTAGATGAGGTCAGAATTAGGTTTTTCTTTTGATGAATCGAATTCCCAAACTGTACTTTTGTGTTAAGCTCATTAACTTCGGATGTCATTCACAAAAGGATTGGGACATAGGTATCTGGGAAAGGCTTTAGCATTAGTGATTGAAAAATTCAAACAATCATTATGTGCTCAAAAAAAGTATGTACAAACTCCTTCGTTGCCATGGCCATCATAAATTATAGCTCGCTCTAAATAAGCCACATGTGACACAACCATTTTTATTTTGTAATCATTTTATTTATTTTTCTCATTGTGTAACTTTCCCTTGTGATGCGGTTTATATTGATCATTGACCAGGACTTACTTCGGAATGTTCTATTCTTTTTACTGTTTATTCATGAATGTATAGCTAAGAGAGTGATTTACTCGAAAACAAAAATTTTTCTTCTATCCAATTTTGTGTTTTCCCATGTTTAGATGGGATTGTTTATATAAATAGAACATTCTAAGAAATAGCACATTAGAATCATAGGTATGTATGCAGAAATTTGAAACATTTCATTTAACCACCTGATGATTACTTTTCTTTACATCATTGAAAATGTTTTTTAATTCACCGTATTTCTATTTCATGTCAAAATAAAGCTGCATTTATATACAAGGTTTGATACTGAAATCCAGTGATTCCTCATTTTATGAAGTTTGAACTGCGGCAAGCAACGTGAAATTTTCACACTTCTTATCTGATTCTCATACATGGATATTCTGAAATATGCTACTGAACCATAGGTGCAGTTGGAAATCACTTATGCTAGTCTGTAGATTTCCCTAGTCAGAATGGATTGATCTTAACATGAGACGACTATCTCATTTGTTTGGAACCGAGCACATCAGCGGTGCAACTGAATCAAGTCAACTCATGCAATAAAACAGTCCAAATCCGGGAAGCGGGATGATGAAGCATTATTATGCCTTAAATAGAATGACCAATTCACAAGATATTCACGAATAGCACTTATATTGCGCCCTTAACTTTGTGTAATAATTCACTTGCCTCTTTTTGCTTTCATCATCAACAAAAACCTTTAGCTATGGAGGTGGATATTTCCATCTCAGTACAAGACTCAAGTCTAATTTATGATTATGAAATGTATACGACACAGTTGCTACTGGAAGTGTGTTGAACGAAATTACTGAACAGCAGTGGTAATCAGATTTTGACTGTTCAGTGGTAGATGAAATGATTTTCGTTTTCAGAATAAAAAAAGCTTCAAAAATACAGATCTGTAAACATATAGGTCGTTTCAAGTCTTTGCTAATAATTCGAAGTCAGCTGAGAGGTTTAACAACCAGCAACTCAGAATCACAAGGACTTCAACTTTACAGTATATACAACCTGAAATTATTCCACTTCTTTGCGAACATTTCTCGTTTCTTATTAGGTACATTTAATAATGTAATAGTAAACGGAAATGATTAGAGTTTTATCTATAGAATGACACTCAAACCTCTTAGAAGCAGTGTATATGACAAGGGCACGACCACCTCTATCTTCGTTCACATTAGAGTAGGTTAAAATGTGAGTTTACACGTGTATGAAACTGCAGCTGAAATGATCAATTTTGCCAAATATGAAAATAAAGATGTGGCAAAATTGAGAAGTAACGAAGAATTTTAAGTAGCTCGGTGATTTGCTGATCTGTAGAGTATTAACGAAACTTTCATCCTTCAGATGATGAGCACCTCGGTAAACATTTATAGCATGAGAAGTGAGTTTTTAAGAACAACAAATAGAAATATGTGTCTAAATAGATATAATGGAGGTTTTGAATACATCTAGTTTCTTCTCACATCATCAGAATAGATAATCTACCCACCTCTGTTGAAATTTTTAGAATTAACTTCTGATGGCCTAATTTAACATATTGATTACGCTATAGTGAAACCATCTAGTTGTAATAAACATACTGGGAACTAAAGAGGCTGTTGCTGACTAATTAAATGCTTCATAGATGAACTAATAACTCTTAGCACTTAGTACAGATACTGATAGTGAATGTGTGTATGTAGTATAGAGTAAGAAGTGAAGAAAAACTAAACAAAATTTAGGATGAGAATAGACTTATAGTTTCCTGTTAATGACACTCCTAGGCCAACACATCGATTCTGAAATAATTGGCCATAAAATTCGCTAGTTATATTAAAGTAGAACTCCAATTCTCAAGAAGAATCCAGGAAGTTCAAAAATGAATTCAAGATTGTCAAACAAAGGACAAATTTATTCATTAGGTCACCTAGTCACTGATTGCCTTTTTTTTTGGGTGTTTCAACTTTACTTTCTAAGTTACACCTTATCTAAATGAAGAAACAATTTCCCCCTTACTGTCTGGATCCCAATATTCTTTGCTAGAGTAGGTCATTTCCACTGCATATGAAAGAGAATGTTACCAACTCATGCAGTAATCAGTATGCTTTGATTAATCGTCAATCGTAACTGAAATACTTACATGCCATCATAGTTAGTTCCTTGTTTTTCAGAGAGAGCAAAGACTAATAATTTTTACTGAGTGTTTATTTTGCTTACCTTCTTTTCAAGACTTTGCAAGCGTTAGAACTCTTTAGAAAAAGAAAATTAAGCGTGATTCATTTGATGTGGCTTTTCTGCCTATTATGTAAGATAAAATATAGATAAGAGACGAGTCAATCATACTTTTACAGTTAAATGAGCCTAGGCATATAATCTTCTTTTCACACTACAAGGCAATTCCGTCGTCACTGACAATAACTCAACTTAAGTAAATCCAAAAATATATAAAGACATGATTGATGAAAGGTGGTTTATGAAGAATCAGAAACCAAATCTACCCATTTTAGTGGAGTTATGATTTCAAATATTCGTGGATTGAGATATTTCACAAAATGACACATCATTTTCAAGAGAAATAACTTCGAGGAGACACTTGTGGGCTAAGTTGCTGGATGCAAGCAATCAAAACATCAGTCATCATCAGAACTAGATATAATTTTAATGGGGATTCGAACATTGAATAGCAACTGTTAATCGGAAGAAAGGTTTCATATGTGGACTCAAAGTAATGAACATAGTGAGGTGACCATTTTTCAATCTGAGTATTTGAGATTACATATGGAAACGGAAAGAAATGTCTGCTTTTTTGTACTTAATAAAATCTGCACAAGACATTGCTGGATCGATAGCTATTTTTTGGAATTATTTACGGCAAAAAATAGTTATAGTGTGAGCCTGATAGCAACAGCCAGGTATCCACTTATATGTAGATGTGAATTTATGTTTATTTGCATGAAGAGAGAGAAGGAGAGACAAAACGTCCAATCATGTACATTTAAGTTGCAGCAGAAACTTACTTGGACATTGTAATATATGCGGTAGTAATTCGCGTACATGACTACCTTGAACATTTAATGGTTCTGCACATCTAGCCCACTGTGTACCACCAGCTTCTTTTTCAGTTAGAAAAGCTGGTAACCAAGCGGCTATCTGACAATCGCATATAAGTGGGTTGTGAACTAAATAACTTTGTTATTCAAAGAAAAGAGACAAAGGTAAACGTTGTATAAGTTTATCGTACTCAAGTACAATCGAGAAAAATGTTTTGTTAAGTTATCTAAAGCATCTGAACACAGTGAAATGATTTGCATTTTGACAACAGTTTCAATGATCTGCCGTGATGAAGTATAACCATGAATTAACGATGAATCTGTCTTAAATAAAAAGGTTAACAATTATCAACTGAACAGTGCGAACAAAACAATAAAAATACATCTATGACTAATTATTTGCTAACAAAGTTTACTTTGTTATTAGTGGTAACGATCAACCACTTTTTCCATCACCACCTGCTCAGAATATAAGTTGTTGAGATTGTTTAATGAAAAAGGTGATTAAACAGGTATTTCGGAAAAAATTCTGATACATAGTTAAAAATATTAAATACTATTTACTTACTTCTCTAGTAAACACTCTGCCTTAGTGATTTAACTCATATCATTGGAAATAAGGTATCAGTTAGTATCTTCTTGGTCATATAATGATGTGCGACTCACCTAATTCATCAAAACAATTCTTTTACGAAGAATTCCATTGAATGATCGTCCAAAAGTCAGTAAGATCCCTTGCTTACTTGATGACAAGATTGTAAACACTAGGGATGAAACGACTGTGTTAGTTGAGGAATATATGCCTTACTATTAAAATCAGTTGCAGTAGTGTGTATGTACACATATTTTAGTTTAACATCCTGAATATATCGTTATTGCACAAATAATCCCCTTTTTCTTATTTTCCCAGGTTAGCATTTCACAATTATCTTGAGTCTTGACCTTTTGTTGTTCTAGTAAGATGTGAGAATCATTAGACGGCTGGTGATATTAGTTTACGTATGAAAGCCGAAAGATACCGTGAAAAGAAGTAATTTTCTCAAGTTGTAAGGTAGGTTCACAATTGCATTATTATACAAGCTTTCTCTTAATAGAACTTGAAAGTTACAAGGTAGACGGCAGTTTTTGGCAGTGCATTTTGCTAAAAAAAGTTCATGATTTGCATTCCTTTAAAAATAGTTGTTAATTTAAGATTCTACAAAAACCAAGAACAATTTAAGTATTCTATGTAATTTAACGAAATACGTTTTATTGGCGAGAAGTGTAGAATAGTTTTGTTACAGAGAGAAATAACTAACTATGCTGTGTGAAAGCTTACAGATATTTCAATCGACGTAAGTCTTCAAAACTATTTCTTGGGAATGTTTGTATACGGTTGTTTGATAAGTGTCTAAATTTTGAAGGAAAAGAGAAAATTTACAGAAAATAATTCTTGTGAAATAATACAACTTTGTTGCAATCAAATATTCAACAGAAAAATGATGGAAAATTTCATAAATAATAAAATATTAATAGAAGAGTTAACCTGAATTTTCACATTTTCATAATTAATCTAACCCTTAATCGGAAACTTTGTTTACTGATAAATAGTTGCTGCTAAGATTATGTAAGCAATCTCTTTCCAGTAACTTTATTAACAAGTTTCTCGTTATTAAAATACATATATACAAATATATATATATATTGTTGTCGCAATATTTCATGCTGAAAATTCCAAATTGTACCAAAAACTGTTTGGAATAAAATGATTATTATTATTATTCAGAATTTTCATTGTGAAGATCGAAATTTCATCGAAAGCTTCGTCAATAATACCAAATTCGATTAACTGACAACTCTTAAAATGCAGTCAGAACTCTTTTAGGTGAACAAAGAAGGTGCTCTTTGCTCCTTGCTCGTCTCGCAATTTTCTACAGATTGAAGATTATCTCGTCCAACGTAATCTATCTGACCTGTCATCTTATTTCTGTCTGTAGGTTTGCAGAGCATTATTATTGATTTTGTTGGCTGGAATTCATGAGCTGACATCAGCTGCAAGAACACTGGAAACCCAGGAGTACTGGACAGCTCTTTCGTCCCAGTCTAGAGCTCCTCGACAGTGCGCACCCACGAACCTGTCTTCCAGGGATCTAGCTGATGACCTTCAGGTCCTGTGGCCAGCTCATTAGTGAATAGCTTTGAGAGGTGATTCCCTAGGTTTCGGTGAGAAGTCGCTACCAGTGGAGTTAACCAAGTTGAACATGAGGGCAGCTACTCAACGACGACACTGAATATAGGATGAGATATGTAGTGAACTGACAGTGGTAAGAAAATATGGATCACTGGCTTCTGCCGACAAGCGTGCTAGCTACAAAACCTGAAGGTCGTGGGTCCGATCCCTGGTGGGATCATGAATGGGCACTGCTGAGGAGCCCGACACTAAAACGAAACAGCTGTCCAATTCTCCTAGGTTTCTACTGTTCCTCTAACTGATGTAAATCCGTGATGAATTCTAATCTAATATAATTTTATTTGTCGGACAGGGTTACGCTTTACTGTAGACACCATAAAAACAACTGGGATTGAGTCAGAAGTACTTTTCCCTAACGGAGGAATAAAAATACCTCACAATGATACTACTAAATGTTCGGCAAAGGGTAAGCAAAGTACAGGAAACCAGTACCCTTTTACTGAATAGGTTTACGTATATTTTTTATTTCACGTTCAGTCGTCACCAAGTATCTATAAAGTTACAGCCATCAAGGATAGTCTTACTGATTATAGATGATTCGCTTCTCTTCTATAATTGAGCTCGATTTCCATTGGGACAAGAATACTTGGCTATTCAGCTAGTGTGCATATTAAGAATGGTCAGTGGTGTTGGTTGAGTGCACATGGCAGACAGGTGAAACCCGTGGTGATCAAAGTTGGTTTGTGATCAGCTTTTGAGTCTCATAGCTCAGGTGTTAGGGTACCTAGTTGTTAAACTCAAAGCTGGTGATTTGAATTTGGTTGTGACCTCCAGATTTTTACTTCACCTTCAATCACCATCTAGTATCAATATAATTTCATCTGCTTTATCATTGATCAAGCCAGTGATGAATTCACTTCATTTTATGACACACTAACAAGTGAAAATCACAAATCAAAAGGCTGAAATGCATTTCACATAAGGTATCATATCTGAATTAGTAGTCATATTAACTTACAAGATTTGTAGGTGTTCTAAACCTGCAAAAGATCCTCTCTGTATGCAGGAAATTTTATTTCGATGTAAATATCTAAAAAATTTAGTAAATCAAAGTATCAATTCATAGAGTGCACTCAACAATTAGAAAAAGTTACTTAAACAGCTCTTCAAATTATATTATGAAATCATGGACTCATTGAATCTAAATGGAGTCAGTTTTTTATTTTACTGATGTTTGACGTAAAGTGTTGAGGATTCCTTCATGTAAGTAATATAAGGAGACTGATAAACTTTCGTTTCCTATCAGTTAGTTGGCACAACAAGTTATTATGGACTGAATAACACCTCTATGACAAAATCTTAGACTTCCGTCTAGAAATAACTTTCCTATCAGATAAAACCTTTGTTAAAAGTGACATGAGAAACATTTCACGTTTCAACCTCACCATTAAACATGAGTGCATTGGCTAACTTGCAGTGGTTAGTGTACATACCACTATAGTGATTGTAGAGTAAATTGCTTTATTCTACACTAAGCTTACAATTTTTCTACATCAATTCTTTCATATTTCAGAAACACACCAACACATGGTAAGAGAATAAACAAAATTGATATTTACCGATACTTGCCATTTCTCCTTTTTATTCCAGATCGAACTAACCAATCTCTGTTAGCACGTAGGCTTGTGTGCAAATGCTCTGGTGTTCATTTGAAGATTCATTACAACTTGGTTTTCTTTGATGGTGACTAGCGTTTTTCAACTTACTTGAGGCTTATCAGCTGGGAGTACCGGTATCCTAGTGGAGAACCACTACTCATTGGGATGTTGGTACATCCCGAACAGATTACTTGCTACATCCACATGTATAAACAGCCCATTCATGCAGATATAAATCTTCACTGACTCTTCTACCTTGTTATGATACTATTATATTGATAAAAAATCATTGTGCAGTGATGAAGGGTTTAACTTTATTGCATGGTAGAGTTATGCCAGAGGTTTGGGGAATGAATGCGCTTATACTTCAGGAAGTCAAAAATCATTGAATGAGAAGCAATCTCTTGCCAGCTGACATTATTACTTTCTTGAGGTTTTCATAGCAGAATGAAAATACGCGAAGTACTACTCTTACTCTTTCGACTGCTTTGTTTTCAATATCTGATCCTTGACATTTTATTCTCCTAGAATTTTTAAACTGTATGGTATCTTCTTCTGTACCAAAAAATCTTATACTAAGTTGCTTCGCATACTTCACAAGTCTCGTAGGGTAGAGAAGCGATAAATACCTCTCTCAGAAATATGTTAAATTAGTGGTTAATTTGATGAAGCTTTTGTGTATGGAAACCATAAGGTCATTTGTTCAAAAGTCTGATGTTACATCTGAAGAGAACGTTTGACATGAACCATCATTTTCATCAGTGAAATAGCTGTTATCAATTCTTTTAATAGATGTGAAAAAATATATGGGGGAAACTTAATCAAGTAAATGATTTCTAGTAACTTTTCAGGTTTAAGCGTTACTGACTGATTCCACTTATTACGACAGTGTTCTATCATGCGTTTAACAGCCATCTCGTTAGTAATTACTCATTTTGAAACGAAAAAGTGAATGACATTTCTAATTTCATTGAATATTACATCAGAAAGATAAGTTCCACAAATATATAATGAAAATCTATTATAATTATTGCCACTACCACTACTGTTATACTAATCAAATCTAACCGTCACGAAAATACTTAAGCTCTATCACTTTTTGGTGATTTTCAGAGGTCATTCAGTTCATTCTAAATGAACAAAATCACAGAAATAATTTGAAATAAAAGGGTGAACTTCTTGTTACAATTTTTGAGCGAGAGGGTGTTTGTAAATATACACTGCTACATAGTTGGGAAACAAAACTGAAATGGTTTGCGTCTTTTATGATTTATCAAAGTACTCTTTGTTATGGTCAAAGCAAAACACTTCAGCATTCAAATTGAGAAATAATATCTTCCTTTTTAGGAAAACTCATAGTTTCGAAACTAAGTCTACCTTAGATGTGTTTGTTGCCCTTTATTTGCTAATCACTTGGATTCCAGCCTAATATCTACGATATCTAGGTGTGAACTAACAAAAAAGAACTACACAGACTCGCTTGATTTCTATTACATAAGCCGTTACTGATATTACGAATGTCTTCTCTGGCTGCATATGAAATAGATAAGATAACTTATACTCAGTACTCTATAGAAAAGTCAATAGATTATGGTACACTAAGATTTTGGTGTTATATATTGAAAACTAATCGACCTGAAAATGATAATCTTATTCATTGGTACACCGATATGTAAGGCAACAGTTTAAAAAAAATATCTATCCTTAGTTTTTTTGGTCATTTTTGTATGTGAATAAATATATCAAAATTATTTACCGATTAAATATGAATTTTGTGGTCAGCTGTTGCTTTCATTGGTAACCATATTATATTTGTCATATGTAATTAAGATTTTCTCTAGTTTTTTATATAATTTATCAGTGGAATATCTTCCTAGTTAACTGAATATAAATATATTTGTCAACAGTGACAAAGTACAATATGTACAATTCTCGTAAATTTAATTGTTTTTCGATTATCGTTACAATGGTAGTGATTTTGGACAAAAAATCAGTTGTAAACTTCAACCTTATTTATTTTGTTGAGGTCCAGATTAAAAGGATAACGTGTGCATCTCTTACCTGTAGGTTTTTATATGAGATTAATGTAGATAAAGTGAAATATTTCAGATTAATGTAATCTGACTTCATTTTATTACTTTATGTTGCATCTCAATACAGAATTATTCACCTGAAGTCTGAAGTTATTTTAATGTTCCCTATATCACATCCTTAACCTAAGATTCATACAAAGTATCATGACAAGTCCTAACCATCACTTTTACCACAAGAAAATTACTAAGATAATTTGTGTTTTAAGCGTTGATATCTCTTTTGCAACAAATCAGATACATGATTTATGTAAGCGGTTATTAATTAGACTTCTATTTTTGTTTGAGTATCTTTTGAATTCATGAAAACCTAAAGACTAATGCATCTGGTAATCGTTTTCATGTGACATTAATCAGAGATATTTCTTGAAGTAGTTTCAAGTTAAAAGAACATATGGAAATGGTCTGAAGGTAACGAATATTTACAAGGTTTTCACTCTCAGGACAATAAGTGGCTGTCAGTATTTTGAAATAATTTCAAACTGACTTATTTGTAATTACTTATATTCCCGTTACCTTTATAACAAAAACTCAAGGATTTTAACGATTTTGAGTGTGAGGGAGAAAATTTCCGTGGACAGAAACAAAACAGGCTGGTGATAAGCTTGGTTTGTCTTCATGTGTTATAACTACACTAATAAAAATTCAAGAAGGAGATTTGAAAATCTTGTAGTTGACATCTAGAAGATATGCTTTAAATTACGCGCAAAATATTGGCACTAAAATAATTGCATTTTCAGGGGCTAAGATATCAATTATTGATACTGGGTGATAGTTGAAGACAAAATAGAAATTTGGATGGCAACCGGATTCGAACCCGCGATCAAAGGGTTTCCGGTCCAGTGATTTACCAACTAAACTACAAAGCCTCATTGCTGACTAAATATTTATTTCAATCTAGTCACCTAGAGTTTTGCTCGACTGTCATGTGAATTCATAACGCATTGCTAAAATTATCTTAGATAGTCAAAATGATAATCAATACGATGCTCCCTCTGTCTAATTCAGTTACATTTGGATTGGGATGTGAAGTCCTGATTAGGCAGCCAGTGTGAGTGCAATCAGACGATAGTAGCGCATCACGAACTCACATGGTAGTCGAACGAAACCCTTGGTGATTGAAGTGAAATACGAATTTGGTCAGTAGTTGGACCTTGTAGCTCACTTGATAGAGCAACAGGTCGAAAACCCGGTGGTCACTGATTCAAGTCTTGCCGCAGTCTAAATTTTCATTTCACCTTCACTCATGACCCAATATCAGTACAAGTCTTTAAAATGACGGCTATCCTAGGTGGTCAGTGAAATGAATCAGTTGTTTTATTCCACAATGATCAAAGCGCCTTTAGAAAGTTTTAACGAGATATCTTATATTTTTATCTTCAAAACAAATTTGTTTCCACCTTCTTGAGTCAAAATCATTGATATACCAACTATAAGTCAAGATTCCAAACAGCATGCTGCTAATATAAAATGGCTTACCGTCTCAGCTCCAACACAAGCAAATATATATCAGTAAGTGTTGACAAGCAATAAATTTACTGACCTGCTTTTAACATTTGTTTTCGGGGGTTAGGTCTACCTTGGGTGTCTTTTTACATGAGCTAAAAATACTTCTACAGCAAGCCATTCAACAAGCAAAAGTATAGGTGGTAATGCTTTTCGATAACTAATAATTTACCGTTGCTAAATTGGATCCAATCATATATGAGCTCCAATGAGGATGCTTCGGTACTGCCAGAATATTCACCATATTATAGTCTACTAATTGGCCAGAAGCAGGATCCAGGACCCTTCAGCTTGATGTACCCACACCCCAGTCAGTGATGGAAATAAACACAATTTGGTCCACTTTTCACAAGAGATGGCTCTTGTGCCTCAGTGTTTTAGTGGATATATCTCCGGCGTTTGAAGCGATAGGTGCTTGGCTCAAGTCTCAGTAGGAATGCTGTCACCCACTGGAGTGCTGATGCATCCAACTGACGAGTATTAAATAGGATGAAACGTGTGTCTCGGGTTCTAGTGCTAACCGCCAAGTAGACTACAATATTATTTTCACGTTTCATCTATTTGACTTAGGTGAGTTGCATTAGTTTCAAAGAAAACACAATGGTTCACATTACTCTGCACATTTTTGGGATGGAATGATTGCTGTAGGCCCACTTACAGGTTACCATAATGAATTGCAAGTTTTTAATGAAGTTGAAAGTTAAATGAAAGTACCAATTATCCAATTAAAGTGTACAGATTATCGAGGTATTGTGCAGGAAAATTATTGCGGTAAAGGTGTTTTTTGTCCTTTGAACATATTATAATGGATCACGCACAATACATTTGAATATGGTGGGCCCATTGCATGATATAAACTCATTCTGCTTTCTTTTTATGTGGATCCATTGAAAGAATCAATTGTTTGACGTACAAAATGACTTATTTCATAAGCGATAAATATAACCATATTGTTTTACTGGTAAAAGTAGTTTAGAAGGTTGTTGTGGGGTAGATTGTTAGAAACCTCACGTTTTCAACATAAGCTAACTCGATGCTGCACCTTTACTTTTGACTGTTCATCATCATTTCACAATTAACTATTTGTAGTCACAATCTTTAACACCGTAAATTAGTGAAAACCAAAACTGAAAAGAAGTTAAATTAGCTGGTAACACTATAGTCAGATTTCTTGGAATAAAACTTTAATCTTAAAAAATGAAACTCATTAACTTACAGTATTTTTAGATTTGAAAGTTTAGAGAATATATTTGATGGCAGTAAACCCATTTCATTTGAACTCATATATCTATAGATGATGAATGGAAAAGAAAATTTGATGAAGATCGGTTTTTTTTCGAATAAATGGTTTTTATTTTGTACAGGAATAAAGATAAATCATCAGGTTACTGCCGCTACCTGTGAGATGTCTAAAAGGAACTTCGTAACTCCTTTAAAAAAGTGTGACTATTAGTTTTGGCTAGTAATCTTTGTCTTGTAAACTTCAGGTAACGAGATGATTTGCTAGCGTAAGTTTCAATGATTGAAATAGAAGAGTTGCAAGATTGTTAACGTCCAGGCTATAGTTGTCACGAAAGTCCTGGAAGAATTTGAGCACTGAATCCGATTTAACTAATATGAGAGTATGTTTGAATATAATCCCAGAGTGTTTAGGAAATCTAAACAAAATATTTCTGAACGCTTTCGCTGTGTGGGCGCCACAGCATATTTAGCAGAACTAAAATCCGTATATTCTGCTGAAGGAGTTATGGTTTACACAACGAAATGTTCAGAAGTGTCTTGTTCTGATTTATTAGACACTTGGGTTTTACTGAAGTATAATGTTGTAGAAGAGTTATAGTTAGTGAAGAACACTGTGATAATGTACAGGTGATTACTCAGAGGTAGCTAACAACAAGTGTTTCACTGCGGACTCAAATATGTTTGTCGTACAGAAACCAAGGGAAACATTAGACTTCAAGAATATTTGCGACCTTACTTAACTAATATTGTTTGCATAAATGAAATGAAAACGAAAATGAGATTCAAACAGTAATTTTCACTTAATGATGGGTAAGACATGTGACTGCGAGATACAACGAATGTTCAACTCTTACTTATGCATCTCTATACAAAAATTTATCCAATGTATGTTTTTGTGAAGTATCGTTCAGAATGTTAGCGAAATACATCTGTTTGTTGATAATTTTTAAAAAAAATAACATGAATATATTGAATGGCGCCATTTTCGTACTTCCGCAAATTAAAAGCGTATCATCTAGGATGTTCAGCCATTGTTTTAATTTTAAAATGTCTTCATTCGTTTATCCTTTTTTTCAGTGACTGTTTCTTTAATATAGACAGGAGAATATTTTCAATCTCTTTACGCGCATCGCAAATACATGTTTACAGAAAGAGACTGAATGAGTTCAGTGTTAAAAATGATGATTGTTAGTTACTTTGGTTAAGCCAGTTATAAAGCGACTATATGAAATTTCTACCATTTTATTGTCTGACTTATTTATAATTCATATCACACAAAAGGTGGAATAAGATTTTAAACACTGCATTCGTTTATAGTGATGTGATCAGATAAAGTTAATATACGCCAAAGGAAAATTGGAGAAACTTTCTGTGGTTATCCTTAGATTATTCATTCAATAAGGCGTGTCGGATGTGTTAACTGACTGGATAAATATTCATAAAAGTTAGCATTTTCAACATGTGTGCTTGACTTTTTCTGAATATCGAATGAGTGTTCGCCAAATACAGTGAAATGAATGATATGATATTGGAAAAATAAGTTGATGAGAACTGAAAGTATCTGTTTCAAAGATTCAGTAACCTCTTGACTGCCGGGAACTTAATATTTCCTATCTAGACTTTTACCTTGGTGATCAATGTGTCTGACAAATAACTGCCACAGCCTTAGAATGAGACATGGTTATTCTTTCACCTTGCAAAAAGGAAAATTATTATATCTCTTATACCTAGTGCAACCTCGCCTAGATAACTAGTTTACTAGTTACTAGCCGGTCCTAACCCCAGATAAAGAGGGAAAGTTGGGTAAAGAGCTGTCAATCCTACCGCGGGAAACCAATCTAACCGTTAAAAAGACTTTAAAATACAGAAAAATTGTAAGAAATGAAAAAAATTATTCCTTGCTGGAATCGGAGAGGCGAAGTGACGCTGGTTGGTGAAAACCTTGGGGAAGCCAATTGACCGATGTGTCTCCTCCCGATATCTATGTACCAATAAACGCCAGATACCGCCTATTTTGTACTATCATTTTGGCTGCTTACCAAGATATTTCAGTCAAATTGTTGAATATATCTAGCAGACTTTAACCCAAAATCACAATCCATTGTTTTGATATTGCATGTTCATAGAACGAATTTAAAGTTAGCACCACACAGATGGTAAAGTCAACATTATATCAATAATTCATTCTAACTGCTGAATTTTACATATTTCTAAGCATTTCATAAATGGCATACATAAATTCAATTATCAAAGTCCAATATAAGAAAGTTATTTCTAGAAGTAACTGGCCAGTGAACAAAAATATTGAATGGGATTATCTTATGCAGTGAAGTAATGCATGAAAAATGCGTTAGTTGGATGGAGGCAATCAGTATGAAGCCCTGGATTTATGTTTCATGCTTGCAGGGACTCGTCAGCAAGGTGCATCTGCAACCTCGACGCAACTGATGTCCCACCTGAGGTTCGAACCCGTGCCACTCAGTGTTGTAGTCAGCGTCACTAGTAACGTCACTTACTGAAACACTGAGTGACGCGTGTTCGAATCATGGGCTAAATATCAGTGCCGTCAAGGTTGCAGATACGCCTTGCTAATGAGTGCCAGCAAGCATGAAACTTAAATCCTGTCGATTGCTTACATCCAATCAAAATCTATCAGAATGCATCGCGACGCTGGGCTGCCTAGTCTGGGGCTACATTACAAAACGACCAATAAAATTCGATCAGCACCTAGGACTAGACAACATGAAGTTGGTCTCTTTCCAATGATTAGTCAATGTTAACATAATGTAACACTGCATGCAATAAATCCATTCAAGGAAAACTGAGGCTTACAAAAGTATCCCTTTCTTTTGTAGTATTACTTATTGTTATTTGGCTTAGTCTGTAATAATCTGATAAGAATGTGGATCTTAGTTAAATTTTCAATACGTTCTAAAGTTACTTGAGTTCAAGCGGTCCCCTATCATTACATCTAACCCAAAAATCATGTTCATATGACAAAAGGGAGTTTCATTCAAAACTAACCAAACACTTGTAGCATAAATTAGTATTATAGATAGTTGATAAAATATTTAAAACTTTTATATTATCTTGGCTAATTGGTTTGACTTACATCAGAAGATTTTTCGTTCAACTCAAGATCATATATGTCTCATGTTGATAAGAACCAAAAACTGTTAAACTTGCATATTTAGGACTCACATCATACCTATCCAAGAGCACAATCCCCAACATAATATCGTTCAGTGCTCTTTCTATCAGACAGGTGGTTAAATGATATTCTTCGACAGACGAAAGCCAACTTACACTGAAAACTGCTGCCACTACGTATGTCCTTGAATACTAAACCGCACGATGCTTGGTTTCAAGCTTTAGCTTAAGAAATATTGTAATCTTCAAGTTGTCATGTGTCGCTAACTGAAATGGCTTTCTAGAATTCATCTTACCTTTATTATTATTTATATTATTGACATGTATTGTAGACATAGAAAGTGGAGTAATTATACTGACGCAGATTTTAGCAGCAATCGAAATGCCATACATGTTTCCACACCATTTGACGAAATACTTATCACCTAAGAGAAATATCTAAAAGTCAAAGAATCCTTAGTTGAATGAACTCAGTTATGCAAGTTGATGGCGGAATATTTAATTTATGAAGGTTGCGTTCTAATAGCGTTATTATTTGTTCAATTTTTTCTAAGTTCATTGATTTCCTTGTTCTGTGTAGAAGCCTAATAAGTTGGTTTCACTTTTTTTCTATGAAAGTATTATGTAACAATCTAAAGAATATATAGCTGAGGTGCATATCTCGTTAGGTGTATTTAAATAGCACTGAAAATTCTAAGATAAAAGCTTCATATGTTCATCTTTGCACAGAATGCATGCTTATTTCAATACATCTGTCGTTAAAATTAACTTTACAAATGCTTTTCGAAGAGAAACAATCAGTTCACTGATACCATGTAACTTAATGCAGAAGTGGTGTGTTTTCAGTCAAATATACTTATGAAATTCACCGATAAGTATCTTGTGATTTAGAATTTTATATAAAATTAAGTTTAAAGAATAACGCTTCAGATTCCACATATGCATTAGCTTTGACAGAATTCTTAACATTGTATGTGTTACTGTAATTAATTGTTCAGTAATCATGAGAGATAAAATATTCGTTCACTTCATACTAAGCCTGGTTCTAAAATCCGTGAAATGTATTTTATCGTTTTTAAATAAAAATAAATAAAAAATATTTTGAATTGTATATGAATTGTATATTCACCAAAATAGGGCGACTTTAAAGGCCACTCTGGTAACGATAGAAATAACCAGTCAGGTTTCCTTATTTTGGCCGGAAAGACAGATTTTCATAAAGTGCAGACGTTTGGTTGGTTATTTCACATGTTGTTGGGGTAACCTTTAAAGTCGCTTGCTAAAATATGACATTTGTTAAATTCGGACACAGGAATATTGGAGTTGGTTGTATTTACTTCTGTGCAAAGAAGGAAACTATCTCAAAAAAGAGCATTTAAAAGATATCTGCTACATGTAACAGAATTAGTTTTCTTCTCGTTCATGATAAAAATAAACATAAACTAAATGCTTGAAATGTAATGAATAACAACGTTTTGCCAACCAGATCAAATGGACTAGTAATCTAAGGGCTATTAGTCACTTCTTTTATTTATTTTTCAGGCTATCAAATAGGCGTTGTCTTTGTAACGTTAGTTACTATAAATTAGGCACACAAAATGTCCAAATCACTTGATACACATTTAATACTTGGCTATTTGATAGTCCATTTATGAAACGGTAGTAGATCCTAATGGTTTATGAAAATGTCACCGATGGGGTCTGCCAACAAAATGAATTCTACATATATACACATTTCTCAACTTATCATTCTCGTTCAAAAACAGTTTTCATTTAACTCTAAGTCTAACACTGGAAGTTATTTAATTGGTGGTTTTGAGGTGAAATTTCTTGTTGGATCTAAATTTTACGAACTGGATTTGGTTCAGAACCAACAAAATGTGTTTTTCCGGCAATGTTATTTTTATTAAAAAAGACTTTTTGGTCTTCGGTAGCAGAACAGCATTAATCAGTATTTTCTGCAGCCATTTTACTTTTGAAAGCACCTGAAATAATCACAAGAACTTAGAGCAATTATATTAGGTAATGTACCACCCTATATGAAAGAATAGCAGTTTTAGAGCCCTCAGAAAAAATATTAAAATAATGGTGTTGCATACCATCAGTTAAATTTATTAAAATATTAATACCAGACTTTGACTTTGAGTATTACAATAGAGAAGTGACTGATTCTGGACTGAGTTTCTTTAATTGGGAAGTTATTGCTGCACACTCAGGGAATTGGCCTCTATTTCCGTTTGCGAAATGTAAAACAGCTAGTTCACTTTATTAACTTCAATAAGACAAATTACTGCCTGATGTTCTGTTGAAGTTTAGAAAATACACTCAAAAGTTGTTCAAGTCGTCTTTAGCCCATGAACGTCGCACTGTAGCATCACGTCTATGTAGACGATGATGAACATGGTAGGTTTGGAAGTGGAATACATTTCTTGAAATGGATCATGGATAGTAGTTGCAGTAGCTGAAAATGAATTGTACACCTGGAGAAGTTTGTCTCTTTTGTAATTGTGCAGATGAGACTTCAGACTAAACAGTAACTTCTACGAGAACGTCAGCTCATAAATAAAACAAACTAACTACTTAAAAAGTTTGAAAATCCTGCTAACTTTTAAATGATTTACGATGGGTATATTTTTGAAATGATAAATAAGCTATGCCTCGGACAAATCCATTTTCACACTTTTGAAACCGATACAAATTGGCTTACTGTTGTTGGTGTTAATATATTCCTAAATAAAAAACTTTTGGTTGACAAAGTGGAGAGTTGGGATAAAATTGGTGCTTAATGGGCACATATTTTTCAAAATCAGTTGATGAGTTGTAAGTCTGTCAGGGAGTTGTCTATAGTTCAGATTCTGTAGTAACAATAATTTCCTCTCACTCTAAACCATTTCGAACAAAAATTAGTACTTCTGATAAGTTTCCATACATCAGAAAATTCATACATTTATAAGTTTAGAAAAGAGTGTCAGCAAGCTCTGTAGCTTTACTGAGTAAGTAGCATAAAAGTTGTTGTTGCTTCTTAAACAACCCACAGATATTTTAAACTGCACTGTCTTGGTGCAGACAATTAAAATTAGTTATACCTTCATGAAAACTGGTCCGCAACTCCGGAAACCTAGAGATTAGCAGAGCGTTCGATTACCTATCATTTGTGATTATTTTTTCCTATTTCTACGAGATCACCATAAGATGCTGTAGGTCTTTTGATTAGAAAAAGTTGTTGTGATCTGATAATTTTCGTCTGATCAAGTTGTATCCAAGTATCTTATAAACAGGGATTTTAGTAACCATTTCTTTAAAGTTGAAGAAATTATTTTACAGTTGATTTTGTTTTTATTTCAAAAAAGCTTTCTTCTCAATCTCTACTTTTAGGAAAGAAGTGTCAGGAGAGATTTTTAACCAGTTGAGAAAGAAAATGATCTACAAGTTCCTTTCAGATTAACGTTTAGTTTGTTGTTAAACACATCAGGTTCTCCAATAAATAAGAAAAATTGCACAAAAATACATTTATATGTAAATACATATATTCTAAAGTATCACAATTATAAAACTTACAAAATGGAAAGTTCTTGTAGATTGCTGAAAGCTTGAGGATGAATATACGAGATTTGATTGTTGTCTAAAACACTATTATACGATAAAGGAAAATAAAGAAAGACTGTTGAAATGAACCAAAAGCTAAACTGATATTTATTATGTTTAAATTGTAGACGGAGCAAGTAGACTAGTTATAATCATGACCTAAGGATATTGAAATGATATTGCCCAATTAAAATCCTTAACAATGGATCAGTTAAAACGTTTATTAACTTGAGATATACGATTTAAAGGTAATAAAAATTGTGTACACACATACAACACATGTAAGTTGTTATTCATAAATAAAGAACAATTTTATACTGATATAAGTATATTTCGAGATTTTATTTGGCTGTCTAAAGGTGAAAGCATCAAATTTCAGAGTAAAGAATGAAAAAAGTTATTCATGTTGCCAAAAGTGGTTGCAACAGAGAGCATCACCAGTTAAACAGACACTCAGAAGAAAAGAAAGGTATAATTATGTAAATGAACTCCGAACTTTCATTCCTAATATCTATAAACGCATATTTTTCCTTATACCATTATAAGCAGCAAAGTATGAAATTATTTCAGCAAGTCGTTACAGTTGCAACTATTCCCTTAAATTCCTTTCAAACAAAAACTGGTCTGCGTAGTGTTAGGATAATAAGAGTAAGTGTGAAACGGGCATCTAGTGTTACATTAACATCTGTTCTCTATTTGTAAATTAGTTCAAAATCGAGTGTAATATCAATGGTGACAATTCAATCAGTCAGCACAGAAATTCACAATCCCACACAGGTACCCTAGGAATGGTAATGTGGCGTATTTTTGAGCATTTACAAACCTATTTCGAACTGGTGGAACGTTTTTTCTTTGTGCTATTCTAAGCTGAGAGATGAAAGTATGAAAACATTTCAAAAGCATGTGAGAGTATATGAGATGCATCCTGAAGACACTTAAAAGATTGAAAGAAACTGAAGGGGAAGATGAAATATAATCGGTGAAAGGTTTTTTGGTAGCCCAAGATTTAAACAGGCCGCCAATCTAAGGTTTTTAAACATGAAAGAACAAAGAAAGGTTTTGCTGATAAAGCTTTTTCGAATTTTTATGGTCAATAGTGTCGAGTGATAAGCTATCTTGTTAAAAATTGACAACTTTCGGTCAAATGGAGAATTATCACACCTCAGATGCCCAAAAGAATAAATCACTACAAAATCTACCTATTTTGGGTTCGATTCTCAGTCGGAAATACATCAAACTGATGGTTTTCAAATAAAACAGACTCATTGTTTGTATTCGTTCCGTTTAAATACCGTCACGTTTTGTAAAAACTTGCTTTACAAGTTAGATAATCTAAACTCCAAGGTAAATTACATTAACAGTCGGATGTGGAGAGATAAACACAGTGATAGTTAAATCAGGAAAGATGTATATTTAGATGCTAACATTTGTTTGTCAAAATCTCGTTTTCTTTTGGGCTGAGATGCAAGAGAGTCAGCATAAACGGTCAGCACTATTTATTGTTCAATGATTCTAACAGAATATTAGTTGAACTGAGAATCCACTAGGTTCTTGTGGGTGATCTACGCACTGTCGTCACTCAAATTTAAACAGGCAAACTGCTGATCTCATAAGCTCACCAGTTGTGTCCAAACGTTGTCTAAAAATACTCCTTTATATGTGTGTGTGTAAAACTTGGGCACTGTGGTTGAATTTAACTCCATATTAGATTTACCTATTTGATTTATAACACAGTGATACAGTATTACTTACTTGATGACGTTTACAGCATATATTATTTGCTCATAATCATATCAGTGTAGTTACACTACCTTCGACATCTGTATTTTTATAGTCCTGTCACTCCTTATTCTTTGTTTGTATTGGTAGTAAAATTTTTCATATATCTGTCACAGGTGTTGCGTCATTTCGTATGCATTATAAAAGATCTTTTGCTGAGAACAACAATTGACTGAGTTACTCCTAAAGATATGAGTTTTTTTGTCATGTATTCATGAAATCAAGTTTCTCATGTTCTTAAATATTGTGATGTTTAGTTTCGCGAACTGCACTTTGCAGACACTCATCGTTTACTGCAACAAGTCCTTTTTGTCACTATCTTTTAATACCGTTCAGTAAGCATCAAAATTAGTGATGCATCAAATGTTTAACACTGAGATAGTACATCTTTTGATAGATGCTCATTTTCTGATTGTTTATTTTAAACAATTTCACTTCTTATTGTTGTGTCCCAAATAAGATGAAAAGCCCATCTAAGACTCCACTGCTAGCCACTATTTATCATTCATATATAATTCAAACACAGGCAGTATCGACAAATCTGCGCAAGAGTCCATATGCCAACAGAGACCGATTAGTTTGGTCCACTTAACTACGGGATAATACAAGCAACAACATTAAAACTATGCCTTTCTCATAAGAGTTGGCAATAGCAGCTCGTGGTCTGGTGAATAACTCTGTGACATTTTAAGGGATTAATCCCGAGTTCGAGTCCTAGTGGGAGCAACACTGCTCACTAGGAGACAATCACGTCCAGCTGACGAGTCTTAAATGGGACGAATTGTGCGTCCGGGATTCCACTGGTAGTCACTATCCATCATTAATTTCACTTCGTGATTACATGGAGTCCTCATGTTTAAATTGACCACAAACCCCGTATTTACCACTTTCAGTTCTGTTTTCATAAGTCTTTCTGTACAATTTAAAGCCATTTCAAGATTTCTGCTGGGATTCTATATCTAAAACATTTTGTAGAAAACAGTCACTGAATATACAGAATTGATCCAACCAGAAAATATACTTTTATGTGAGATTTGATATTCCACACTATTCGCTAATAAATCATTTTAGTAAGAAGTTTTCAAAACAAGGAAGCCAAGACGTCATATATCTCAGGCGATTCGGAAGCAGAAACAAAGTTAAGAGTATTTGTAATTGATGTCCACCAGCAGAATTTCAAGTCGCCTAACGAGAAATAAAATTTATTGAAGGCGTATATGAGCTAATTCCAGGTAACTAACTAAAAGCAGAATGAAATATTAACTGATGGTTAAAAATAATAACAATACATGCAAATAAACAAATTTCAACCTACATTTTCTTAAATTTTTGTAATTCGTAAATGCATCCATTGGAAGTGAAATCAGTTCATTGTGATCCATATTTCTAAAATGAAACGCTTGCAATTTTAAATGTCAAAAATAGTATCAAATATTCTCTGTGTTAAAGTAACAGTATAATGCATTACTTGTCGATTTTCAGTATTATCTATTCACTAATACAGACATATATCAGAGGAATATTACCCATATTAAGGAAATTTAACCACAAGAAAAAGTGATCTACAATAAAGGTCTTTCTGAATTTTCCAGACAACCAAACTGATTATCAACTTCTTTGATGCTTGAAATTGAAAGAACAATGAAATTCAACTTACTACATCAAGATGTTTGATAATAGTTTTCGTAAGTTAGTTCTCGAGCTTTTCTAACCAAACAACAGAATGATTAGCAGGACTTGATTTAAACATCAATATTATTCCAGACAGCGTGTATGATATAGTATGGAATTTTCAGCATGAAATATTTCATCAAATTCACTTTCCATGCAACATTTTTAGAGGAAGTAATTATTACGTCTGCGTAGTGTTAGGATAATAAGAGTAAATGTGAAACGGGCATCTAGTGTTACATTAACATCTGTTCTCTATTTGTAAATTAGTTCAAAATCGAGTGTAATATCAATGGTGACAATTCAATCAGTCAGCACAGAAATTCACAATCCCACACAGGTACCCTAGGAATGGTAATGTGGCGTATTTTTGAGCATTTACAAACCTATTTCGAACTGGTGGAACGTTTTTTCTTTGTGCTATTCTAAGCTGGAGAGATGAAAGTATGAAAACATTTCAAAAGCATGTGAGAGTATATGAATATGATGCATCCTGAAGACACTTAAAAGATTGAAAGAAACTGAAGGGGAAGATGAAATATAATCGGTGAAAGGTTTTTTGGTAGCCCAAGATTTAAGCAGGTAGCCTTACGTACATACAATATCACACTGCTCATCGAAATCTTACGGCAAAAGATGAGTAAACAAAGTTTCCCATTGCACTGCAAAATTTGATAGTTCGCCAATTGATTTCCAAACTATACACATTTTTAGGAGTTTTGACTCATTTTTTTAGGCCAATAACCCTAGCCACTTGATGAAGTGTTTGAATTTCCTTTCACCTACTTGGTTTTTGTCATAGGCGTAGTATCACATTACTTTCCAACAACGCGTGTAGCTAATTACCTAGTGTATGTGAAAATATTCAACAGCTGAGCTTGATTATTCATGATTCATAGGGATATTTCAGACACTCGTAATATCACATCTCGCCACTGAAATTTGAAACAAGGAGCAAATCTAGCCGCCAAAAGCAATTGCCTTATAAATGGACTGTGTATAACTTGAGTTAACTAAATCTGAGAATCTACAAATGCACGCGAAATAGTTTTAAACAAGTACTTTTTCAAAGACAAAGCTTATTAGTAAGCAGCGCACACTATATTGGTGACTAGCTTGATAAGAAGACTCAACTTCAGACTAACCAAAGCTATGTGAATGTTTTTAGAGTATAGAATCAACATTTGTGGATTATTTGAAAATCTTCAAGCATATTGCATAAATTTGTACAGCAAAGAGTTTGAGAGATAGGAAAGTTATGAATATCTCAACACAGTCATTAACTGTAAGTAATTCAACGAGTTGGTCATTGCAGTTTAAGCGCATATTAAGTAAATGAATAATGGACAAGTTTTGTCCGCTTTTAATACAAACTAATAATATGGTGAAGTATACTGTTAAGCATCGAGTTTTATTTGCATGCAGAGGCTTTTATATCTTAGAAAATGTTCACTTTTGAATTTCTAATATAATTAAGTTTCTTGTTTAACCCTAACGTGCGTGTGTTGATACATTCAAAAAATATTCTTATGACTAGGCTCAACTTCCGTAAGACTGATCAGTGAAATAAACTAAATAATTCTAATGATAATCCTTTAACATCTGATTTCAAACCTAACAACTAAATAAGGGGTCTATCAATTATTTATTTAAGAAGGACTATATCCTCACAGCTAGCTGTATGCGCTCGCTTACTTTAATGTGTCTAAGCAGCTGTAGATTTCAAGTATAAAACAAGCTTAAATAGAGTTTATCACATTATCTATTTGATTAAGAGATCTGTTGAGACTTACTGTTATCAGTTTGATATTCATCACGGACTGATATCAGTTGGAGAAGCACTAAGAGACCTGAGAGCACTAGGCAAGCGTTTCGTCCTCGTGTAAGATTCCTCAGTTGTGCAAGTTCATGAACACGCTAGGCACTGAACTCAGGACCTTCAGGTTTCACAGATGAAACAACGATTCAGTGCTCCCAAGTTTTCAGTGCTTCTCTAACTGGTGGTGAACAGCAACTTACAATAAGTTACTTATTGAGTGTTGCCTGTGAACTCATCATCTCACATTCTATATTTTCTGTTTTTTTTATCAGATCGGTGGAAATAATGATTCCATCACTTAAATTATTCCTCACAGGTTAGCTGTCATAAATTTCAAAATATATTCTGCATAGATTTTCAAACACCAGGGTAAAGCGTAATTTTGATTTAATTTTTGTGTTTCTCCAAAGAATTTCAACCTATTAAATAAACGTTTTTCCAAGTCAAGGAATTTCAGAAATCGTCTCTGTTAAAAGTCCGTTAACTATGCATACATGGCGTTACATTCTTTTCTACACTATTTATACCAATAAAATATGTTGGTTTGGTAAAATGCTTAAAATTTATCTTCTATAAAGTTGTTCACCAACCTATTAATAAATAAATAGTTAAATAAACTGATTTCAATAAAATTTATTTATATTTGCAAATTCTCCTTTGTCAGTGATTTATATCTCAATGAAGAATACAAACCCTAAGAACTTACACTGATGTAGCAGTTTTTTAGGCGCTGATTATACATCTGAAGCTCAGCTTTAACCTGAAAGCTGATTTACAGACCAGGTGAATATTACTTATTCAGGTTTATGTCGAAAGAATAAAATGCAAGGTAAGAATAGTTGAATGTTTCACGGTTTACCGAATCAGTACACAGGTGGCTTTCCTGAGGCTTCAGAAATTCTGAATATGAATTGATTAAGGTGTCTTTGAAGAGTAATAAGTTAAAGCCTTACTCGGCCTCCAACTCAGCGGATAGTATTCTGACCAAACACAGCTGTTATGATGATGATACACCGAATGATTTAGGCTGGGTACTCGCCTGGTCGATAACTGTCTCGGAGGTTCCCACCAAAGGTGATACACACAGAATGTGTGATTCGCTGTTTAATAATAACACTTTATTTACGTAGGTTACATTTGCATAAACTGCAGCGTGTGAACTTATGTGTCAGAACTATGATTTTCTAGTATGAATAATTATCATGCACAGTAGTGAGATTTACGCAAATACCACTTATATCTAGTGTCAAACTTTCACTGGGCGCCCAATATTTATGAAACAGTAAGGTCAAATCTTGGCCAGGATTTATATGCAATATTTTACTTACATCTCAAGTTTTTAAAAACAACAGTTTCACTTACAACTCCATAATATCACGTGGTAAATCATCTGGAATCGCTTTCAGCCCACGTCCTTGACAGTTGGCTACGCCTTCAACTGAACAATCACAAATTCCATCACACGATGATGTACCTGTTATGATGCATTCTGGTGAAGGTTTCATAAACATCTCTGAGTCGGCTACCACATTAAAATACGCAACAAAGATTAGTTAGGTAATTGGAAAAATTGAGAGAATATTATGGTAATATCATTAGAAATTATAACTGACGTAAACAAATATTTATCACAGCCTAGTATGATGAAAACTAACTTCAATTAATTGGTCATTTCGTGTGCGAAGACCTTGAACAGTATCATCACCTAGTTGTACATCAAGTTATCATAAAGGTTTTCTTAAATCTGGACGTAAATCTTTTCTCCTTAGATAACCTGGAAACTGCTACTTTCTCCACATCATTAAATCCATTATATGTGTTCATTATGACCACGGATATACTTACCGCATTCTTGTTAAAGCTAATGAGATACTATTAAAAAACTACTCGTTTAAGTTTCACCTCAAAATGCACTAAAAAAGCGATCTCATGATGCCTTTTCAAATATTTTATTGCATTTATAAAAACTTCGATATCAAAATTCAATCTGATAGAATTGAAAAAGTTGGGCGTTGTGTAAACGGATTATAAATAAACAGTTGACAACTTGTACAGGTTTTAGTCTTTGAAAAAGTGATTTCCATGAAATCGCTAAACATCAAAAATTAATTTTACTACCTCATTGAGATTCTATAAATATATTTCAGTGACATTTTTATTACAGTGTTTATATATTTTGTCAAACATATAACTGAAAACCAAATCAGCAAAATGTCTGATCAAAATTGTACTAACTCCTAATTACTCTCATAGGGATATTGAATTCGCTTGAATAAAACTGAAATTACCAACCTCATATGAAATTTACTTGATCGTGGCTAGCAGAAGAATTCAGGACGCAGGTTTTGTCCTATTTCCGGCTCACCAGCCGGACTTTGAATTAAATAATTCAATTTAAAAGTTGGTGGGGATTCTTGACTCCAAGTTGGCGTTCGTAGCACACTGAAAACAGATGGAGAACCATTGAAAACCTGGTGTCACCGGACAGCTTTTTTGTCCTAGTATGAAACTCCTTAGCATGGTGGACCTATGATGAAGGTCATACTATAATGTGAACTGGTAAAAGTAAGGAAATACGGACTATTACATCCTGATTCAGTAGCTGAAATGTAACAGATAACTTAAGAACCTGGTGGCCCAAAATATGATCCCTGGTTGAGCAGTGAGTGAGCGATTCTGAGGAGTCCCATATGAGGATAAAATATTTGTTCAGTACTCACAGGTTTCTGGTGGTCCTCTAGCAGATGTCAGTCTGTGATGAATGCCAGCTTAAATCAAATAGAACTAAGAGAAACAATGGTATTAGACTAGTTTTCACTTGTTGTTCTTACTTAGTCCCTTCGTACACTAATACTTATGAGTACAGTTTTTCTGGACTACGTGACATAGTGAAATGTTTAGCGTACCTGTTATCTCTTTATGTGCAGTGTTTATTGAAATGAAGCTTCATACTCAATTTGATTTATTGCAGTACATAACGAATACATTTTCATATGTATCTTCTCTTTTTTCCGCCAACTAGTGGAAATATGATACTGAATAGGCGGTCATCATCATCTCAAGTTCGTCTTTTAGTGTGCAACTAAAAAATTAACTATTATTCTAGAAATTATGGTTAGTATTGCTTAACGATATTAAAGCTCCTTGTACAAGAAATTGCATTATTAAGTGTTATTCATCGTAGACTGACATCAGTTGGAGGAACAAAGTCTACGATGAATAACAACTTGAAATAATTCCAAATCTCCACATCTCCTTCAAAATTTAATTATGAAGTGTTTTATTGATAGCTGCAAATATTATATATTTCAACGATAGTTGATAAAATTTGTTTTGAACTTCTGGAACTAAGTCTACTTTAAGCTCCTGCCATACCTATTTCTCAATTTTTAGCTGTTCTTTGATGATATTTATAATTACTTCCAAATTTCGGTGAAAATGGGTTTCTTTATCTATACTGGCTACCTAAGATTAGTAAATTTGGAATTTTTATTCTCTCTTATTAAGAATAAAGTGTTTTCGGTTGCATAAAACCCTAATTCTTTAGACTTGAAGGAAACACCACTTCTCAGTTAGTTACGTGGATAAGTACTTAGAACAGGATCAAGGTCATTGACAATCAAATATGACCATGATTAAGAAAAATTCCTGCTGAAGAAAAGCAAACAGGGTTATGATGAAGAGATAACATGAAGTAAAATCAGCCTAAATAAGATGCGGGTGGAATAAGAAACAGAAGCGAATTCGCTTTTCTCCGCTAAAATCTTTCTCATATTTTTCATAACCACCAAGTTAATATCGTAACACCGAAGGAAAGATAGGAAATCGACTTTCAGCAGTTTAAAATATATTTATTGGTCCAGCCGTCTCTTCGGAAGCAAATATTTGGAAAGAGGCATCCATATACTGGTATTTTTAAGCATTTAGCCAGATTACTAAGGTATGAGAAAAAGAAAATTCAATGGAGTTCAGTGATGAGGCAATAACTAAACCACGGAGATGGCACTGAGTCCATCAAGACTCTTACGATTGACTGTCATGAGACAGCAACAAGGAATAAGTAATTCCAAATGATTCATTACCTGTTTCACGAACAGTAGTTTGGCTCAAACCATTGTCAAAATTGGAATATTGTCGTTAGAAGTAAATAGTCATTACAAATATACTGATAAAAGATTTGAAATTCATGTGGACATATATGAATCAGGTCACCAAACAAAGCGATGTCAGATGGTTGCTAAGTTGGTACGCATGTCTAATACTTACTGGATCTTCCTCAAGAACTTTCACCGAAAATAAACAGTTATGGTGAAGAATGTAAATATATATTTAGAGGTAGATTTAGCGAAGAACATTCCAAAACTGAGCTATCCGCAGAAGAATGAAATAAAGAAAGTAGTTTGCATAACCATGAGATCACTTACCAGGACATTGTAAAGTTTGATATATTCTTTCATTCAACGGATACCCATACAAACTGGGATCACTACTCAATGTAGAACAGACTGCACCAGACCTATGCAGAATAGTTAGACGATTTGTACCGATAAAATCATTCAAAAATGGTTGAATATAGCAATCACATCGTAAAGGATTTTCTTTTAGATCACTAGATATTGAAGAAAAATGTAGGAAAAAGCGATTTAATAACCCTTAAATTCGGTAATGATAGCAAGCTGTCAAACCCATAGGAATAATCAGGAAAGTAAACTAAATCTTTACTTCTTTGAATGTGATCCTAGAATAAGGCAAGATAGAATTCCATTCTGACAAATGGTTACAAAATCATGGGTATATATACCCTCCTGCTCAGAATTAATTAGATTTATTTGGGCTGAAATCTTAGATGATAATCCATTTGCTGAAATGCCATTCTCATATCGACTGCTCCAGTGATAAAGATTCATCCAGCATGATGATGAAGTAATGAGTAATCGGGCAGTATCGAGGGTTTCACATAGGAGCCCATCTGCCGACAGAGGTCGAGTAACTCGACTCAGTACACCAACGTGAGATTACAAGCATCAAATAACATATGATGATGACTACTTAATTAAAGAAAGCATACTGAGTAGGTTTAAAACCTAGAGCTGTGAAGTGTTATTTATTTGACGCGGGAGTCTAGAAAGCATGAATAAACTTGTCTCGAGATTTGAAAATAAATAAATTAGTTCTGAACATCAGATATGAACTAAAAAATTTTTATCAAAGTTTTTGTCATGAAGAAACTCAAAGAGAATAACAGCTTTTTAAACTGGTGTTTGTTTCTAGATAAATATCCTGAAGTTTGGGGAATAAGTCTTGACCTATGAGATCGATTTGGTTAGTGGTAAACTGCTTTTCAACAGAAATTTCAATTTTCAGAATTGATGATTACAATCCACTGAAATCCGATTAAGTAGCTTCAATCATGCATCTTGAAGAGAAGTCTTAGACTTGGAAAGAACAATCTTTCATCATTCTTTCCACAAATTCTGGATATTAATCGAAAACATCTTTAAGGTAACGGAAAAAATATTTTCAGAAATGAATAACGCATAAGAGTAAGTAGTACCGAAATATGTAGTCAGTTTGTTTTCATTATTACAGGGATATTTCATGAAATACCTCATAAAGGTACCACCCTAGATATGTCCCCTATTAGTCAGCAGCCTTCTTATGAGTTTTGAAGTGACCAATATTTATTTTGATTAAATCATAGGTAGGTTTGTGGTCACTATACTGAAAATACTTAAGTTCCCAAGTGGAAACACATTGAAAAGTGTTAATCTTTCCTCATAACTTTATTTTAAATGGAGTACATATTAACTTCCAAAAATCCGCTAGAGGAATATAAAAAAAGCCTCGTTAGATGTTAAAGAATTTCGAAAGTTGCAAAGTAGAATATAGGATAATGCCGCCTATCCGATACTTAAGTTTATAGGCACTAAGTTTTAGTAATACGTGAAGCATACACTGATCTAATCCATGTATCAAAGCTGGGTACGCAAACTATTGTTAAAGGTCAAAATAAATCCAGCAGTATTTGTTAGCTGGAAGTTGTTTAAAAACTTTCTAGTATATTTAAGCGAGCTTCGAACATAATTGAAAACTTTCCAAAAATTTAAGGACAGAAAAGGTTTGCTGCTCATGATAAGAATGACTGTTTTGATATTCACTGAGTCTTCATAGTTTCGTCTGCGAAGCTTCATCACAAAGCTTGGTACCAACACCATAAAGCAAGTTTTGATGATTTTTCCAAATCTGGTAATCATAGTTCGTCTGTCAAATCTCAAATCTAACAGAACATTGTAGTATCTCTTAAGATTTTTGGGTCATATGTGATCCCGGAAATTATCATTGAATACGATAGTTATTTAGTCTTTCATATGTTTGATTATCAGAAAGAAAGCAGCATAAGGCATGTACAGATGAAAAACTCTATTCACATTTTCATTGTCAGGCTTTTTAGTCATCAGTTACTTTGACACACTAATGCATTAGTTACTATACCACACATTCAAAGTTGAAAAGTCTTGTGCACATGAATGTAATTTCAATTACTTTAAATTCTCTAAATAATGAATATAAACAATCTGTCATCTGTTCCTTTTTAAACAACAATAATAGTTAAAATACAGGTAGTAAAGGTCAGATTTTTGATGAATTAATGAATAAAACACACAACTGTCTAGGCTTTCAAGTAACTTGCAATAAAGCACAGTCGGTTTTCCCCACTTGAATGCATGAAATGTCCAGCCCGATTTTTCATAAACTCCCCACAAATAAGTGGTCTGTACAAATAGCTTCTAGGTTGCGAATTTACTAAAACACAATGGGTAAAGCCGGTTAACTATGAAGTGGGGAAAAGTGTTCGTGTACGAAAGTGATGGTTGATGGCAGTGTACTAATCAGTGCCTGAAATTGTAAAATGCTGACCGCTACGCTGTAATAATGAGGTTTCCCTCCAGAGACTTTTGGACACCACGTTCAATCCCAAGAGGGACCCTAAGTCTGATGATGATTGTTTGTTGATCTACCATTGTGAATAGTTCTTGGTGTTAAATACCCGCAGTTAAGCCTATATTATGATGAAAGAACACAAACTTATCGCATAGGTTTTAAGGAGCTAACGATAAACCCATCACAGTAAACCTTTCTTTTGACTGCTCTTGTCTTATTCGTAGTAGCTTTCCTCTACTTTGTGAAGGGACAGCCTGCACGACTTATGTTCATGACTGATTAAATACTGCACTGACGAAAAAGAATAGTTCAGGTGAATAATCAGTGTGAATGAACTTAGGCTACATAACTCCAAAGATATACGTTTCTGAGGTATCGACAGTTCATGAGGTAAGAACTAAGGCGTTGATCAGATAAACTGTTCATATCTTTAATCCCCCATTTGAATCCAATTAATTCTGCTCACATCGCATAATAATTAATCTTCAAGCAATATCGGAGCACCCATACAGATAGAATATGCCAACAGAGGCTGATCAATTCGGTCCAATATAACAATTAAAAAGACAGTACAAATATTAGTTAATAATAATTGGGAGCATCTAATCAAAAGTATATTCCTCACAGTACAGTGTTCTTTTAAATTCTTTAAACGTTCAACTTACATTCAAACACTAATTGTTACTTTACACCGACTTTATAAAAAATACTTCAGATTCTATTTGTTTCACTACAGATGTCAATAGTGATCAACAATGTTTTTAATGTAAAAAAAATACAATTTATTCAACTTACATATGCTTGAGTGATTTCAGTTCCGTAAGTAAAGATCTCGGAAGCCATACCAAATTATTCCGTGTGAGCAAACTGTTATAAAAAAAATGCAAGTCATTTATTCATAATGATGCCTGAGTTATTACTGCTTGCATATGTAGAATTAAGAAGTATGCGCAAAGTTTGAGAACGTGAAAATAATAGCAGTTGTTGTGAAACCTTTTGATCAGGTAGACTAAAAACTATAGTTTCCAAACAAATCGTCTTTGTTCTTTCAATACTGATAATGGAACTATGCAGATGTATTCATAATGCGAGGAATACACAGAATACAGGCCAGATTCTGACCGTCCGAATACTTCACTGGTCATGTCTCCGACTGCACTATTGGGTGACGTAGGTCTTAATCTCAACCAAAAAGCATGAAACCTGGATCCAGTGCTTCCTGCCGATTGCCCCCATTCAACTAAAGTCTACGCTACTTTGAGACTCTTAGACTTTTGGCTACGTTGCGGAATGCTCAACAGAACTGTCAGCACACAAGACTGGACAACATGAAGTTGATTACTATCCAGTAACCAGTCACTGTATATCAACATATAACACTGTGGTTTAAGTTTAAAACTCTCATCATATGCGACATGCAGTATATTTGATAGACATACAACCAACGACTTGAAATCGGTTCCATGTATTTCTTCAAAGTGTTTCTTTAAACGTAGTGCTTTTTTGAGGTTCTGCCGAGTATATGTTCAATAATAGCCAACATTTTATTACTTCTATTTACTAAAAATGTAATATAAGTTCATTGTTTGATTACCAGAAACTAACCTATTTCATGTTGTCTAGTTTTTAAGAATGATCTAATTATGGTGATTATTTTGCAATGTGATTACCAGGCCCAAAGACTCACTGTCACACTATACTTTAATTGATGTAAGTTGGTTGAAGATAATTCGTAGGAAAACCGCTTGATCTAGATTTCCCGCTTGTTAACCATCTTCAGCAAGGTGTTTCTGCAATCTCATAATCAACTTAAGTTTCACAAATGGTTGATGTCGATAAGGGTAGAAACTAATGTTATCTAAAGTTGAAGACTTATGCATTATAGAGTTAGGAAGTATTCGGAATACAGGCAAAAAATCCTGTCAAAATGTATGGTAAGCGAACTTTGACAGAAACAAAATAATTTCTTTTCCTCATTTTCAGCCTAGTCTTGTCTTTCTTACGCGATCCTAAGTAAATCCATGATAAATGAAAAATCAGATGTACTGTATAGATTTAAGACTACTGATATGTTATAGGGTTACCAATGATTACAGACACTTCCATGTAACCAATTATTATCAAAAGGACAATCCGAATAACAAAACTGTGATCTCTTTCCCAATAGATTCATAGTGTCACTTATCAAGGTATGGTTTCATGAAAATTTGTCTATTTTTAATTTCTACAATCTCCTCACAAACACCGTTTGATTTAGCCAAAGTAGAAAAGCTTTTTATTAATAACTGGACATTCGACCATGAATTTCTGCTCATGATTTTTCAAATATTTCTATTAAACTCATTATATTTCAACTCGAGCGTGAAATCCATACACAGACGGTTACTGTATGTCATCTCTTTAAAAACCACATGTAACAGGAAATGAGTTTACTATGAATGTTGGATTCAATGTGCTGAATAATGCCAACAGACACAAAGCTTATATCTTGAATTTTCTTTTCAGTAAAGGAAAATATCTAACGAACTGAATTTAATCCAGTAACATAAGGAAAAAAAGAAGCGAGAATGACGGTTAGGCACATACTGGGAAGGAAACTAGGGTAAAAATTAGGAAGTATGCCTATTATTCATAACACAAGAAACATTTATCGCCTGCTGAGCTTAGCTGAAACACACTGAAAATCGAATCAACTTAATCTCAATCTCAAAAAAGTGGAGATGCAGCTTAATTGACACAAGATCAAGAAGAGGAGCAGATGTAGGTTCACATAACTCACTATCTAGTGCAAGGAACCTTCCAAATCAAGTTGAAAGCCTTCAGGGAAGTTGGTGATAGACCACAGTTCAGGTTCAACACCCAGAACAGAAACTGAAGGACGAAACTACAAACGACATCACGTCAGCCACCAGGAAAAAATGGGAGATATTGAGCTAAATCCCTGAAGGGTCAGGCGTGGAACAACATTGGAACTCTGTGAAAGCGATGCGGAAGGAAACCTGCATAACTGTATTAAGAATGAAGAAGAAACAGGACAGGGAATGAATCTCGAGGGACACATGGAAGATGAAAGAGTAAGTAGAGGAAAGTGGTGAAGCAGATGAACCAGTGCAAGGATGAAGAAAGAGGAACTGAAGAAAACTTATAAAACACATCACTAGGCAAAGAAGTGAAGAAGACTGCACGCAAAGACAAAAGACACTTCTACGACATACTGGTATGGGAAACAGAATAGGCTACGGGTAACAGAGAATGACAACATTATATCAAATAACAAAGTTACTGTTATCCGGGAAGAGATCAACTCAGACGATACAGATGAGGAATAGTGAAGGAAACTTGGTTACCGAAGAGGAGACACAAAGTAAACGAAAGGCTGACCACTTCAAAAAGCTATTGAATCGACCACCACCACCTGCAAGTCGTCCAGAAGTACCATCAACAAAAGCAGAACTACCAGTGAACACAAATCCTCTTACAAAAGGCGAAATCAAGAAAGCCATAAAGTTGCTAGAAGCCTGAAAAGCAGCAGGACGAGATGGAATTCCTCAAGAAGTACCGAAAAAAAGCATGGAAAAAAGAGGATACGATCACACTACTTTGGCAGAAGGTTTAGAAGAAAGTAAAGAAAGGTGCCTAGCGATTGTAAGAAGGACTACCTCGTCAAACTTCCAAAGAAAGGATGCCCAAGTTTTGGCAAGAATTAGCATGGAATAATGCGCGCGTCCCTGTCCACTCCAAGGAAAATATTGTGCCGCATCGTGCTGGAGAGACTAAAAACTACTCTGGATTCAAAATTATGACTGGAAATGGCTGGCAGGCTGGCTGGCTTCAGGAAGAACAAATCACGTGCGGATCATATTGCAACGCTACGCTACGCATCACCACATAACAGAGCATAAAATGACAGTCAACTCAACCTCAACTTCAGCAATTTTGAAAATGCTGTCAATAGTGCCAAACGAGAAGTAATTTGGCAACTGCTTCAACACTACGAAGTACCAAGAACCTTCGTCATCCTCACTCAACAACATTATGCTATACGATGCTACATGCCAAGTGATTCACAATGGAAAGCTCAGTGATGCCTTTGAGGTGAAGACAGAAAGGAGTAAGACGAGGTTGACGCCTACTATCACTGGTGATCTTCCTGGTTGTGGTGGACTAGACTGAATCATGCAACAAACTGTGAGGAGTGAGAAGATGTGCATACGCTGGCTGGACCAATGAAAAGACCCCAGGAGAGGATTTGGATTTCGCCAACGATAATGATTCATGTCTTATGTCTTGTCGCACAAACTCAAAGATGTACAGGCTAAAACCGACAAGTTGATAGAAGAGGGAGCGAAGATGGGACTTCGAGTGAATGTGGAGAAGACAGGGGTGACGAAGACACCCAACGAGTTGGGCGTCCGAGGGTGACGTGGAGGAGATGGTGTGAGGAAGAAATGTAAGCTTGTGGGCAGACGTGGAACCAGGTTCAAAAGACTGCAGAGAATAGAGTGGAATGGAGACGTGCTACTGAAGCCTTATGTTCCACTGGGAACCCAGGTTAAAAATAGTAAATAAATAATATACTTTGCAGATGTATACAGATTACAATGCAAATGACTTACATGTAACGTAACTCACTCAGACCAGAAAACAAGGAGTCTGGGAGACAAACCAGCTTGTTATCTTGTAGATCCCTGAAAAAATAAGTTATATGTAAGAATAAGTGGTACAACTAGTTAACTCTATGACGTTTCAAACAACTGTATTTTGAACTAGACATAAATCTACATATGAAGACAAACCACTTTCAAAGACTTGAGTGAATCAATCACTACAAGTATTTTCTTTTGTTTTCTGTTTTAGCAGAGTATAACAGAAAGAATAAGTAGAAGTTATGATATAACCTTTTACTCTGAACCTTCTTTAAGCACTGAGACTCCTTATCAGGGCACATACAAGGAGCCTATCAGCATAGGATCAATGCATACTAGTTTTTTTAACTGCTAGATTTTGTTCTTATGATCAACAGATTAAAATCTCATCTGTTTATTTGATACATAAACCATTCTACGATTTTACACAGTACATGATCATTGAACTTGACTAGTCGGGAGTTCTAATCAAAGCTTCAAGCAACTATAGTAGGGCAAGTTTGTAGTAAGTCTCAAGAGCTTACTAAAAGTTGCTTGGTTAGGAGACAGAATCATGCCTCTGATTACCATGTGTCTACTGTGCTATACTGGAATTATGTATAGCGTGTAAAATATGCCTCAAGCTAAACATTATATCACCAAGCTTGAAAAAAACGAGCCTATGAAAAGTATATAGTGCGAAAAATTATGAATACGGAATCATGAGTACGAGTTTCAGATGTTGAACTTAAGAGCACTTCTTATGACCTATTTTCATTCAGCAATTTTCATGACCCTCACCACGTTTACCACCACCTTCCACAGGTTATTTTATATTATTTGTTCCCAGTCTTGAACATGTCTTCCACATTGAGTTATGTTAAATAAATCTATCTGGTGGAAAATGTGGATCGAAATTCAGAAGTGATATTCTAAGTATTCGACCATTAATGAATCGTAACCTTCTCTCACTTCAGAGATCATAAATGATTACAAACTGAATACTCTAGTAATCCCTTTAAGATGCACGGGACAGTCATCTTGTGACATAAATTAAGATGAATATGAAGTGCAGTGTTGCACAGTTACAGTTCAGAAATGACTTGTGATTAATGACTTTCACTAACCGAATATTACCTCAGTCATTACAGTGTAGTAAAGCGTCACACTCAAAGGCAAGTGAAGATGAGTTGCTAAGGTCCAATGACGTTTCATCCATACGGTTTCTTTATGATATATGATTGAACGTGATGTTATGTGACAGTGAACTTACTTCTCAAGATGTCCTACCCTTTCGCAGCTTGTCATTTACCTAGCATGATGATTTTCCTTCTTACCAAGTTATGGAATTCTCATACCGGTATGCTTATATAGAAATTCACAGCTGTTTGATCTATTCATCAAATCCACCACTCTGTTGATGCCAAATTATACAATATTTTTCCATGGGTTAATATTTGCTTTTGGTGAGAATCAGCATGTAAAGCATGAACCTAAAACCAACCATTATAGTGCTTTCCTGCCCAACGTTATCCGACTGTCGCAAACATCTCGACCACTATAATTATATCCATCTGTCCACCTAGGTCGTTTGAATTAGGTTTCACAGTTGATTAGAGCCAATTATTACCAGATTATGCAGTCAAAGGTGAGGATATTACCGTTAGGTGAAACCCACTCTTAAAGTTTTCTCATAATTTCCTCAGGAGGTTAAAGTAATAGGACTTAAATGTGTGAACTGCTTAATTTAACAAACAGCAAACAAGTGTGCCTATGATAAGCCTAACCTTAAAGAAGTGAAATGGTCATACAATAGTCACATCATCCTGATTCACTGACGAAATTCAGGTCTGAACTTTTTATAGGAAGCTGGAAGGATCAATCTGGTACAAAGTTATGAAAAACTGGCTTGCTATCATCCATTAGAAGTTGGATTTATTAAAAATTCACTACCAAAATCTATTTATTATCAAATACCAAAAGCTTTTTGTTGGTTTTCTACTGATTTTCAACGACTCTGCGGTACCCTGTAAGGATGTAACTCAAAATTTTGTTTTTAAGCATTTATCGGTTCACAGACGACAATAGTAACAATGTTTTTTTAGTAAGAATATGTGAACATGTTTTTATTTGTTATACATACCCTCACACGGATATGGTATGAGTTTTCAAAAAGGAAATTTCACAATAATTCGGATACTCAGAAAAATAGTAGACTTTGACATTCCTCGCGTAACATTATATGCCAAAAAGTTGTCAGTGTGTTTGCAGAGATATTGCGGCATGTCTGAAATACACATTAGGAATTAAGGGTGATATTATGATGAGGTAGTCAATTTGTAATTCAGTTCCAAAAACTGTTACAACTGACAATCAAGTTTTATTCTGTCCTACGTACACAATAAATTTTTTTCGAAGGTACATAATTCCCTTAGATAGTTGGAGTCTTACTAATACATTAGTTCTTTATTAACTACCACGAAGTTTACGGAATAATTCTTGTCATCTAGAAAATAATGAACTAAAATTAGAAAGAGTACAGCTTTCAGTCTCCGTCACTGGTTGGATCGAATTGATTAGACATTATGCCTGCCATGTAAGGAATGGTTGTCAAGACTCAGTGGTCCGGGAGATAACACTTAAAAATCTAAGTCGGTGAGTAATGGGTTCCCACCTGAACAGGAACATCACCTCCCCCTCGCAGCAGGTTACCTCGAGTTGATGAGCCCCAAATAGGATGAAATGATTGTTCTAAATTCAGCTGCTGGTCAACGTGTATCACTGTAATTACATTCTCACTTTAATAAGATGATGATTGTAGTTAACGTTTTTAGATACCTTACACAAGGATACTGGGTGGAACTAAAAGTAAGTTACGGGAAAGCTCAACGACAACCTATCAGGTTGCAAATATACGTATCACGGTCATTCCTTTACACTCACTTACCAAGTTGCTGATGCTGAATAATCCGTTTATTAATTATGACAGAGATTAGGTTGTCGGCTATTTTTAAAGAGTTTGATTATTTGCGGGAAATCTAAGTTGTAAATTTGGTAGAACAATGGACTCTGTACCTAACGTGCGAAATATAACCGATGAAGACGACTTAAACTGGTCTGGGTAAATTACGTACATATGTCTTGACAAATCACAGATTCTTGGCATTTGCAATCGAAATACGCGGAACGAACACGTTCACTGCATAAAGGATACATTGGAAGAATCTATTCTACCAGTTATAAGCAATGGGGAGAGCTGGGCACAACAATATAAACAAATGCTTGGAAGTCATAAATCCCGTTGTCTGAAATGGGTTACCATCACCAAGTTATTTTTCCCAATAAGCACTTTATTAATCCAATGACTGGAATGCTGGCGAGAAATATTCCAAACACGCGAGTCGTCATTGAATGATCCCATGAACTTCGAGAGGATTATGACGGGAAATGATATGGTCTCATATGAATGACCAGCAATACAGGCAACAGCATGTTTTCAGAGACGGCAAAGACATTAAAAATACATTCATCGTTATTCGTCATGTAAAATGAACTTATTGGTACTTTTCCCCTGGGTTCCCAGTGGAACATAAGGCTTCAGTAGCACGTCTCCATTCCACTCTATTCTCTGCAGTCTTTTGAACCTGGTTCCACGTCTGCCCACAAGCTTACATTTCTTCCTCACACCATCTCCTCCACGTCACCCTCGGACGCCCAACTCGTTGGGTGTCTTCGTCACCCCTGTCTTCTCCACATTCACTCGAAGTCCCATCTTCGCTCCCTCTTCTATCAACTTGTCGGTTTTAGCCTGTACATCTTTGAGTTTGTGCGACAAGACATAAGACATGAATCATTATCGTTGGCGAAATCCAAATCCTCTCCTGGGGTCTTTTCATTGGTCCAGCCAGCGTATGCACATCTTCTCACTCCTCACAGTTTGTTGCATGATTCAGTCTAGTCCACCACAACCAGGAAGATCACCAGTGATAGTAGGCGTCAACCTCGTCTTACTCCTTTCTGTCTTCACCTCAAAGGCATCACTGAGCTTTCCATTGTGAATCACTTGGCATGTAGCATCGTATAGCATAATGTTGTTGAGTGAGGATGACGAAGGTTCTTGGTACTTCGTAGTGTTGAAGCAGTTGCCAAATTACTTCTCGTTTGGCACTATTGACGGCATTTTCAAAATTGCTGAAGTTGAGGTTGAGTTGACTGTCATTTTATGCTCTGTTATGTGGTGATGCGTAGCGTAGCGTTGCAATATGATCCGCACGTGATTTGTTCTTCCTGAAGCCAGCCAGCCTGCCAGCCATTTCCAGTCATAATTTTGAATCCAGAGTAGTTTTTAGTCTCTCCAGCACGATGCGGCACAATATTTTCCTTGGAGTGGACAGGGACGCGCGCATAATTCCACGCCCATTCCTAATAATTGCTCTGTTTTTTATGTGCTCGATTCTGATTAGTCAGGGGATATTCGAAAGTGAACGGTCGTCACTAAATTTTGGTTCTACTAGACAGTATTTTGTACTTGTTCTCTGGCTTGGTAAACGATCACTCCTAAATGACACGTTTGGGTCTTATTTATTTTATTCTCTACTTGGTAGAATGAATACTTCAGTCACTTATTTTTCAGACAGGAATATACCAAACGGCTGCAAATATCTGCTTCGAGTACTTTTTAAAAAGGCATGTGTAACTTATTGCAATCACTCTTCACAGTGCAGTAAATTGCTTGGTTGACTGCCAGTAACTTGAAAAACTAGACTAGGGTATGGATTTTTGTTTTATTTTCAAAATATTTATGCTAAGATGTTGATTTTACTGAATTCAAAGAGAAATATTATTCTCATATAACTTGAAACAGTTGGTTCACGAAAAGACAGAATAATTGTACAAGAGGTGGCTACCGTACCTCAGTAGCCTAGTGGATAACGTCTCGGCATTTGAAGCGATGGTCACGGTGTTTGAGTCTCAGTGGGAACAATGTCACTCACTGGGATGCAGGTACATTCAGGTGATCGGGACAAAACGCAGCTCCCGGATTCTTCTGCTAGCCATAAACA